AAATTTAAATTACAATTTCTAGTACTTCTCGAATGGACGTCAGAGTTTTTCCTTAAAGATGTGTTCATGGATCCACAGCTGAGGTTGTACAGGTTTTGCCGTGTCATGTTTGGTGTAAATTCAAGTCTTGAGTACTTAGTTGCGGATTGTGCCTGATGCCTCATCCAAGGCTACTTGCAATAGCCTTAGTTTAAATGACTGCCTGTTTTCCGGGCCAGCCTTAGCCCCAACCATTTTCAAGATTTTACTCCGGTTCAGAGAAAGAAATATTCCATTAGTTGGAGATATCGAGAAAGCCTTCCTGAACATTGGAGTCCATGAACAGGATCGTGATGCGTCACGATTATTATGGGTTGACAGCTTAGAGCAGGAGGATCCACAGCTGAGGTTGTACAGGTTTTGCCGTGTCATGTTTGGTGTAAATTCAAGTCCATTCCTATTAAATGCTACCCTGCAGTACCACATCAGTCGGTACAGGTCAGATCCAGAGTTTGTGGAGAACTTGATGAATTCATTCTACGCGAACGATTTAGTGTTTTGAGAAGAGAATCTTGGGAAGTGTCTCGCTCCATCAGAAGTCAAAGAAGTGCTTATCAGAAGGCGGTTTTAACCTACGAAAATAGATCTCCATTTCACCCAAGCTCCTTGACTTGATTTGTGAAGATCGCACCAAGGCCGAGGGGTACTGTTTTGAACAAAGGTCAGAAGTAGAAGACACGGAGACCTATACGAGAACCACAGTGGGTCACGCTATCCCAGCTAAGATCGAGTTTTTGGATCGTTAAGGAAGGAAATTTGTGAAGAAGATCATCTCCACATATACCGTGTGTCGCAGGTATGATGGGCGTGGCTATAAGGTAACCCCTCTGCCTGGACTTAGATTGAGTCAAAAATCTGCCCTTACCTATGTTGGAGTAGATTATCCTGGGCCGCTGTACATAAAGGAACGGAACTGTTCCACATTAAAGAAAGTCTATGTCCTTCTGTTTACCTGCTGTTCAACCAGGACCTTTCACATGGAATTAGCTACAGATTTGTCAGCTGACGTGTTCATTCGTTGTCTACGGAGAGCTACAGGTAGACGGGGATTGCCAGAAATCGTTTTTTCAGATATTTCGAAGACGTTCAAGGCTACAGTTAAAGTTCTAAGAAAGGTGTTTTCATACCATAGTGTCCAGAGATTTCTTGTCAACGTACAGAGCCCCCCGGCGGGGGAGTTTTTAAAAGGATGATACAGAATGCGAGACCAAGTTTGCGGAAGACACTGAGAAACGCGAAGCTTACTATGAGGAGCTGCATACCATTCTTGTGGAGGTCAAGGGAACGTTAAACTATAGACCACTAACATATGTGTCCTCAGATGATGTCGAGGAGCCACTGACACCCTTTCATTTGATCTATGGAAGAGGAATTCTATCTTTACCCGAAGTTACGCCAGGTGAAGAGGCTTCACTGAGCCAAGCAGCGTCATGCAGGGATGGCCCCAGAAGAAGGAAATATCTGCCATTCTTGCTAGATCACTTTTGGAAGCGTTGGAGTAAAGAGTACGTTGCAATTTCGCAGAACCTGCATCGTGAGAGACGCATACCAGAAGGTAGTATTTCTCTCTCAATTGGAGACGTTGTCAACTTGTTTAAAGATAAACTACCCCGAAGTCAGTGGAGATTTGGAAGGGTTGAACAATTGATCCCCGGTACGGAAGATAATGTCAGAGCAGCAGTCGTCAAAGTCATCGCTAAGAGAGGGAGAGCCATGACAGTAAAGAGACCAGTTCAAAGGCTGTTTCCCTTGGAAGTGCAAAAGGCCATGACTAATGATGAGCAGCCGTCCGAAGAACAGGGGACCGAACGGAGGCAGACGGACGAGACGAGAGGCAGCTTTCAACGCTGACTGTATCCGAAGATCAGTTCACCAGTAAATCAGCTGATCAAGGGGGAAGAGTGTAGCGGATATATTTGGGCTTTTGAACTTGTCACGTTTTTCTTGGCGTTGCATAAGCACTTTGGACTTGTCATCATGTTTTGTGATCACGGGATGTTATTGGATTGCGTTTAAGTTCAGAAGACATATCGGACGGGTGTGGATTCCGGCACATTTGCTGAGTGTAGATCAATTAATTCGTGAATTCATTAAAGGAGTTGACACAATACACAACAGGTGTGTTACTAAATATTTTTCTGAAGATACACTTTGTGTGACCTGGCTGTGACGTCATTGCTCACGTGATTAGAACATGCAGAATTTTTCAGATGACTTTAAAACAACATTACTCCTCATTAATATGGGATTTTTTTGTTTAGTCGTAGATTTTTAAATACAGTTTTTGAAAAGCGCCATTATTATTTTTTTCTAGAAAATCCTGCAGGCGAAAATTAAAGTTGAAAAGTCTGATTGCTTCCTGTTTGACGACTTTTAAAGTTAAAAATTTAATTGATAATGAGGTTCTAAAGTATCCTCTTTCCAGCAGCATCGATAGTTTCTCAATATCTTCACCGCTTCATAGCTGGGAAAGATGTAATTTTCGAAATTGCGTGGGCCTGGGTTAAGGTGAAATTTACAGGAAAGCCTGGAACGAGTGCGCACAACCAAACAAAGCTCTTTTCGTCACGCTGGTCACGTCAACATCATGCATTGGATTTATTTATTTTATTTTTTCGTTTCTCATTTCGCAGTGTTTACTAGTTTAGCGATTGGCGGGGAAAGAGATTGGCCAATCGTTTTTCTAGCAGCGTTTTTTGGTGGCTTTCTTCTGAGAAGTGAATATACACCTCGTAAAATTCATACGAAACTACATGCGGGACTCGAATGGCGTATGTACGATGTCCTCAATAGTGAAGATATCGATGATTTCTCTGATATCAAGTTTGTCTCTTAAATTGTACTTAAATTCGTTGGTTTATGATCGAAGCATCTTCGGGTCTTCCTCGAAAGTCTTCACCAATCTTCGGCAATCTTCGGAAATCTTCGGAAAACTTTCGAAAAATGTTCTGCAACATTCGTGTGACCTTCGGACAAGTTTTGGCAATTCTTCGGAAAGTGGTTGGAAATCTTCAGAAAATCGTCAGAAACGCCGTCATCAGTATGTCTATATAATAAAAAGAACATTACACGTTAGCTGGAAGATATGAATTTTATGTTCTCGTGGCAAGAACAATATCTCACGAGTGATCGCAGCGAACGAGTGAGGTATTGCTCTTGCCACTCGAACACAAAATTCATATCTTGTCACCACCGTGTATATCTTCTGTATATATCCCGTATCCTCTATATATTTTTACTTGTTGTTTGTATTTTGACTCGCCCTACGGGCTCATCGAAATACGGCACAAAATATACAGCGATACTACACACCAAAACATCTAATCAGATATATGTATTCTTCACCATCTATGGGTATATTACGAACTCACAAAGTGACCAGCTCCCAGCTGGCTTGATAGCTCAGCTGGTAGAGCACTGCACCGGTATCGCAGAGGTCTTGGGTTCGAATCCCGTTCAGGACTTGAATTTTTTTCAAGCTTTAATTTCACAGCTGCTTAAGCTGTGTGTATAACTGCGATGATCAATCATGTCTATGTAGACAGAGTGACAATGATAAAAGAATATATTTAATTATAATGAGCAGAGCGAACAGCTCTTATGGCCATGATCAACCAGTGAAACTATATTGCACTTACGAATTTTATTTTAAAAAGGTATTTAACTTTTTTGTAGATCTAACATCTGGCGATAATTCAAGTGTTGGGGCGGATTGCGACTCCAGCAGGAGAGAAAATATTACAAGTAAAGATCGAGTGGTGGAAACAAAAGGCGATGAAGAAGGTAACGCTGGTGATTACCTTATTTACCAATAGGTCAATTTCGATATATTAAAATTCAGCCAAAAACAATAGACCTCAGTGCGA